CATAAAATAATAAGTTAGTAACTGAAGAGAAAAGTAATACTTCTGTAAAATCATTTGCTATATACTTAGATTTTACAGTTGAGCAAAAGTTCAAAGCTTGTTCTGTATATTAGTTTTGATGTTATATAATTGGTCTTCTATATAAATAGACTTGTCTACTCATCTACTTACTATATTCTTTTCTAGAAATAGCTCACAATAAGAAGAGGATATTATTATTCTAGAAGTAGTAGTTGTATTAATGTACTCTACAGAAGAGTTTATTGAAAAGAAATATGAGATGTTGTTGTATAGATATTTGAATTGAGTTTTTCAGCACAAGTTTGTTTAAAATTTTTGTTTTTAGTTGAGAGTAAGGATAGTGTATTGAATAGAATATCTTCATTAATAGTAGTATTATTGAATTGGACATTAAATTTTTTAAAGATAATTTTTTCTGCTTGAGAGTAGAATTTGTCTTTATACTTAGCAGAAATTTGTGTAAAAGAAAGTTTTAGTTGTTAAAGTAAGTGAAAGTATGTTAGAATTCTAACAAGATAATATGTATCTGTAGATTTAGAAATAATTTTTTAGATTATTTGATAATAGTTGAGAGTAGAAATTTCTTCATTTATAGCTGAAGCTATAAGAAAAGCTTTAAGATAGATGTAGAAATAGTAAGTACATCTTTTGATACTAGTTACTATATTGTTTTGTTTAATGAATTCTTGTTTAGCTAAGTTGGCTAGTTTATGAAATAGAGTAATTGATATAGAGATTTGAAATAATACTTTATTTAGTTGATCTTTTTGGAATTGTTAGCAATCAAGTTCAGAATATATCTATCTAACTTTGTTTTTAGAAGAATTAGAAGATAGAGTTGCTAGAAATTTAGTAAAGTATTAGTCAAAGAAAGAAGTTAAAATATTCTTGAAATTATATTCTGTATTAGTAGATAAGATATTGTAGTCTATGCCAGTACAAGTATTAATATGGAAAAAGCAGCTTTGGTACATAGAACTGTATATTCACAAAAAGATTTAATTAAAGTTATTTTGAAGTTTTTTGAAAAAAGTTTTTTGCAAGCTTTAACAAGATTGAGTGCAATTTTATATTTAATATAATTGTAGATTTTGGTTTGATCTATTGTTGAGATTAATATTTGGAAGGCTTCACAGCAAAAGATGATGATAGGTCAAAAAAAATTTTTCTGTAGTTTTTTGATATTATGTTCTAAATAATCTAATTTTTGCAAAATTAAAGTTTTTCTAAAAATTTTTTTTTGACCTATCACTACTTTTTGCTGTGGAGCTCCTTATTTGTAAATTTTAAAAAATAGTTTAAACCATTTGTCAAGATCCTCTTTATGTTTTTTAAGTAAAGAAATCCTAAAAGTTTCTATAAATTCTTGTTTAGAAATATTAAGAAAGATATTAATATTGAATTTGTTATCATATTGTATTTAAAAGAGAGGTTAGTAAATTTTGTCTTCAGAAATAAAGTAATATAATTAGAATCTTTTGGGTTTGATATTAAGATCTTCAAAGAATTTGTTGGCATAGATAGTTTTGTAATCATCATTAAGAAAAAAATGAATTCTAGCAAAGTTAATAGCCAATAAGTTATAGTTTTGAATAGTATAAGAATAGATTATATTGAAGGATAATAGAATTTTTTGGTAATTGAGTTTGGTGAAAAAAATTGTTATAAATTTAGATAAGTGAGATTTGAAAGTTGAGTAATTAATATTAAAAAGGATTGTAGTAGCTTTATCAATTTTTGGATTTGCATTGAAAATGAGATCAGTAAGAAAGTCAAACATTAACCTGCTATTGATTTAATAAGATACTTAAAATTGCTTTTAGAAACAGAGATATTTCCAGATGCTGGTTTAAGAATTTTTTCTAGTGTAAAGTTAATAAGATTTGGCTTTAAAAAATTGAAAAGTTTAATTAAGACCTGTGTATTAAGTTGAGTATATTGTTCTATTTTCTCAGTTATGAAAAAGGGTTTGAACTAATCAAGATTATTTGAGATATCTATTTTGAGTAAAGATTTTTTGATAAGTTTAAGAAAAACAGATTTATGTAGTACTTTTTTTGGTCAACAAATATAAGACTAAATTTGATAAAATGAAAAGTGTTTTGTTGAATTAATGTTAAAGGTTTGAATTGAGAAAGAGGTTTGATTCTAATATTGTTGATATATTCAGAGTAAACTAAGAAGCTTTTAAGAATGAATTCAGATTGAAAAGAGTATTTTTTATTAGAGAGAAAGATACAAGAGATGTTTTTTTTGTAGCAGAATAAGCATATGTAAACATAGTAGGAATAAGCAGTAATTAGAATTTGTTAGTCAAGAGAGTTTAAATTTGTAGAAGATGTTGCAGTATTTTTGTTATTATAATTGAATAGAAAAAGAGATAATGAAGTTAGATTTTATTTAATTAGTGATTTAAGGATTTGTTCTTGAAGTTTTTGAAATTGTTTTGATGTACTATCTATAGATATAAGAGTATTAGAGATTGGTATAGAAATGCTAGGTTTGGAGATTTCTAAAGTATGATATTTAGAAGTAAAATATATATAGTATTTGTTGTAGAGACAGTAAATTAGAGAAGGTTGAGCTAGTATATTAAAGTAATAAAGTTGTTTTCAGGTGTGTATTGAGAAGAATTGAAGGCAAAAGGCATAGTTTGAGTTGTGTGAGATTTTGTTTATATATAACTACTTTATATTTGTTGTTATATTTAAATAAGAAGTAGTCTAAGTTAAAGAAGTTAGATTCATATTGAATAAGAGTAAATATGTGTTGAGGTAATATATTTGTTTTAGAAGTTATTTTGAAAGGGTTTAAATAGTTTAATAATATTATATTTAGAATAAAAATGAAGAGAGCTTTATGAAGAGGTATAGTTTGGTTTGCATAATATAATACTAGTTGTATAACCTACAAGGTAGATAGTATGGCTTGTAGCTAGTATAGCTAGTATAGTACAAAGTCTGATATATATCACTAAGCTAATAATAATAAGATTTTATTGTTACATTATACTAATTTAGAATTAGTACAAATATATAAATAATTAATTTGTGTTTAATTAAAATGAGTTTAAAATAGAAGTTTTGGTAATTAGTATTATTTTTGAATGAACCAATAGATTTGAGTTGGTTTGTCATATGATTAAGTTCTGGGGAAAAAGTAAAAGAAATTTTGTTTTTTTAGTTTTTTAAGAAAAGACTTTTAATAGATTTTTTTAATAATTTAGTAAATTTGTATCTATTTTTTATAAAATTGTATATGTGTGAAGTTTAGAGTAAGCTGAACAAAATTCTTTTAATAGCTAAGAGTTGTTGTCTTAATAAAATTTAGAGAAATAATAAAATTGCTTAATTAAATATTTAAGTAATTAATTTATGAGTTTGGATCTGAGAAAAATAAAATTAAGCCACTCTAAAGTAGAATTTTGTGTAAAATAATTTTGCTTAGTAGCCCAAAGATAGTTTACTTAATAAAATACTTAGATATGAATAAATGTTTTTAAGAAGTTTTGGTACAAGTGATCTATGAGAAGAGTTAATAATTTGTATCTTTTTATAAAAAATATTAGAAATTAATAAATATATATTCAATACAATAGTATATCTCTTAACAGTTAAGAATCTACTTTATCAGTATTTTGTAATTTATATTTATACTAAGTAAAATTTTAAACTTAGCTAATTATGTAGTTTATGCAGTATATTAATATTACTATATTTGCAGTATACTATTTTATAATTTTTTTTTTAAATTTTAACTTTTGCAGGTTAAGGTGAGGTCTTATCTCTATCTTTATTTGAGTAAAATATAGTTAAGAGTTTATATAAAACTATTTGATAATAAATTACATACAAAAATTGAAACTTAGACAATAATAAATTGCTATATCTAAAGTTAAACTAAAGTTAGTACTAATTTAGAATTATTTGTGACCTAAACCTACTAGAGTGGTTAAGACTTACCTAGATTTGGTTGAAGAAAATTGAGTTTGTAGAAAAGCTATATTTGATCTAATGTAATAGCCATGCTGAGAGTCTTTGTATAGTAAGCTTAGTTGATGAAATTTGGTTGTGTTGAGAAGGAGGGCAATATGAGTCATATAGTTCTCAAGAAGTATTTGAAGTTTGTTGATAGCTTCTTCAATTTAATTAAGAATTTGAGTATGGAATATTGATATTATATTGTTTCTTCTAGTTTGTGTATTCAGAACAATAGAGTAACTACAGTTGTTTATAAATTTTTGAGTTGAGTTTAAGGAATAGTTTGATAATTAACTGTAAAGCAATATGAAGTAAGTTAGTATATGGTCAAATTATTTGAATTAATATATATAGTAGAAGTTCTTTAAGTGAAGTATATAGACTAATAGTGTAAAAAGTATTTGAAGATAGTTGAAGTGAAAGATATTGAGTTATTAAGTTTTGTAGTATATAAAGTTAAGATTTAGTAATTTCTAAGTTTACAGTATTGAGAATTTCATTTACTGATTGTAAAATAATATCTTATAAGATATTATTGTTATAGTTTGTGATCTAATGAAGTTCTGAATCTGTTTGGTTGTATTTGAAGCATTTGTTATTTGATATAATATTTGGATAATATTTTTGTAGATATGATAACATAAGTAGTTTATTATATAGAAGTTTAATGCGGAAGGTTTTGAGTTTACTAAGTTTGAAGTTAGTAAATTTGTATAAGCATTTGTTGTTGTTGTTTGAGGTATAACTATATTAAATTCCAATCAATTTGATCATATAGATAAGCCCATATTTGATTACAGTTTTGTGATGACCACATTGCAATAATATGAGCATTGCATATTGTTTTGATAAGTTTACATGTAGATTGTTTGATATTATAATTTTCCTATATAATATGAAAGTTAAGAATATATAAGTTTGTATATTTAAATTCAAAATATGGTAAAGTTTGGTGATTTTGTGCTAATACGTTAGCTGCTTCATTCAAGATATCGTAATATGTTTAATCCATTAATTTGTCCATTTACAGATCGTATAGAAAACTTTTATGAAGTATGTATAATCTTTATGCAATGGATTTATAAAGTTATATGTAATATTATTTCTTTTTTACTAAGATATTGGGAAGTCAATCCCTTGATGCCAATGTCATTGCAACATCTAAACATACTGTTATAGAGAGGAACTCGAGCATTTCTCGTAAAGTAAAATAAACAATTTTGGATCGAATACCTTGGTACTACTCTGGCATTAAAAGTGGAGATCTAAAAAATAATATGACATGGATAAAAAAATTACAAGTAAAGCAAACTGATCGAATTGATATGGATTATGTACTTATTCCTAAAAATGAAACCAAAACAGCTAAAGTTTCAGCTTGTATTTCGAAAAATGAAAGCAAATTGATTCTTTATATTACTAGTGAAGAATACATCAATATTGCAAATGTACTAATTCAATATATTCATCGTCGGCCTGAAAGACAAAATAGTACAAATTTATTTCTTTACTTAACCTTTTCAATAGAAGAACTGCTAGCACTTGGGTACTCTACTGAAAATATAAAGATTGTAAAGATTGAAAATGTAAATATTGATGAGTCGTTTGTGAAAAAACTAATAAAAAAATTATCTGCTACTGAATTTGAGAATATATTACTCGAGAGTATTACATCCTGTAAATCAAACAATCAAAGATCTGTCCTAGCAGATAATAAACTTGTGAAAACTTTTGTTGCTGAAGAAAAACATTATGGTAACGTGCACAGTTTTAATATGTGATATAGTGATGAATTCATTTATATTATAGTAATTTTCCTTGTTTTCTTTTCGGTCTGATACAGAATCATAATTAAATTATGTTAAAACTGTAGATTCAATTGAACTTCACATTGAAGATACTTTAGATTCTTCTATTATTCTATCTTCTACTAAAACAATGGATATAAATATAAAAAATTTTATTAAAGTTCTTGTTAGTGTTGCTGAAATTTTTAAACTTCCAAAAAACAAAATTAATATATTTTATAAAGAAGATTCAACAAAGGTTGCCTTCAATCGTAATAAAACTTTGTTTTTCAACTTAAAATACTACATAGATTCTAGACATCCTTTTAATACCGCAATTGTATCTTGGTACATGACATTTTGTCATGAATTGGCACATAATTTCATTACATCACATAATGCTGACTTTGTGGTAAGATTTTTTATTTTTACTTACTTTTAAAAATTAAAATTTTAACAATTTCTTTTATTTTTATAAGTTTTATTTACAATCTTATGCAAAAAAATATTTTCAAAAGTTGATTAAATTTGGAGCTCAGAATATTAATTATTTTTTGCCAGTAAGCTAAAATTTTTACTTGTTCAATTATTACTTTGAAAAATCTATCATTTAAACTTTTTAATTTTTCTGTTTGTAAAAGATTTCTTTTAACAATTCAGCATCTCACATTATTAATGAAGAACAAGGTGAGATTCAGTTATGTTTCGATCTTTTATTATTAATACAAATATTAATCTTTCTAATCAGATTCCAAACCGGCCCTACCCTCTTGCCCAAGTGCTACTAATGAGTCAGCATTCTTCAGATGTGCCAAGACTCCACTATCTTGGCTTGCTGCGTTGGTTCATCATTGCGAGGGAGATAAAAAACATGTGCACGAGTTTTATTTGTCAAATCATTTTAATCGCGAGCATGAGACTGTTTTAATATGTCAGAAGTGTTACAAGAGGTTTATATTGACCACGTCAATACCAACACCACTAGAAGATATTATTAATAAAATGAATGTTGAAAGTGGCATGTGTGTTGCTAATCAAGAAAATCATCTACATCATCTCTATACTACAATTTCAACAAAGACGAACGTAGTTTCTGAGTGCGCTATTGTCTTTTCACTGTAAATGTTATGATCTATGAACCTTACATCAGTACTCAGATTTTTGATGAATTACAAAAAAGAAGACACATTCCCACATATTCTACGATCACAAAGAAGCTTAATGGTATCGAAAATGAACCTTTGATAAGTATTAATGATACTCCCGAGCTTTTAGCAAAGATAATAGATCTTTTAGTAAACAAGGATAATCGCCCAATTAATATAAGTTCAAAGTCATTTTCTAAAAAGATTGGCTATGATGATGCTATGTTAGTATATATTTTATCTATATATATTATTTACATGTTTCTAAGTAAATATTTGAGATTTCTAATGATTTCTTCCTCTAGCAAAGCCTTTTTTGACAAGCTTGAGTACAAATTAGTGGATGGACATTTCCTTGTATCACCACAGCTTACAAACGATTATATTGTAAAAGTAAAACATATATTAGAAGAAGTAAATATGAAGAGGATTGAAATACACGAGAGTATGGTTTAACCCTATTTTGGACTTACACCTTTATAATTATGTATTTTATAAATTGCATTTTATAATCTATTAATAATTTCTACGATAAAGGCATCTATTCCGTGGTAGGATGTAGAAAAATATATCAAACCATACGAAAAATTAGAAGCTATTCTTGGAACAAAATGTACGTAATTTCCGGAGCAGAGCGGAGGAACTTAAGTCCAGACAATAGGCAAAAAAAAAATTCCAGGTGGCTTCCGGGAGTAGGATAAGGCGGACATAAGCAAAAAATTTACAATTATTCGATCGATCACAATTATATCAGTATACTGTAACGTTCTTTAAATGTAACTTTGTTCGCTAACATGCGACGTTATACAATGTAAATCAAAACTTCATGAATTTTAAATAGATGTATAGCCCTAACGGCTTAATAGCTTAGAATAAAATTTTACAGGACTACGTAATATTATAGTTCTACAAATAAATTTATGAAGCTATTATAATTTTTTCACATTTAAATGTAAAAAAATAACTTGATAACTTTGTATAGCGATAATATTTGATCCATTTATTTAGATTCGAATCAAGATTTTTCGAGCGCGCGAGGTTTTGAAACCTGTGTTTTCATGTGCTTCCGTCTTGACTGTACATCCATTTTTACGAAGAATTCGAAGATACATAAAAATATCTATTATATGATACCACATATAATTTTACATAACTGATAATATACCGTACCCCAATGATCTTTTGTAGAATTTTTTCTTCAAGTATCATACTCAAATATTGAAATAGATCGTTTACAATGTACGTACCAGCAGTATTATCAATATAATGTCTTTTTCCCCAAGTTGTAAAAGCAAAAACCATACTAATAAATTTAATATATTATTCACATGACAACATTGTTCGAAGTGAAGTGGCGCTCCGGAATCCAACAGATCCCATTTTCATGATATAGAAATATAGTAATGTGAGAATATATATTGTTGTATAGATTTATGGCAATTTAGTTTATGACTTTTTGTACAAAAATTTTACGTGAAATTGGTTATGTATATATCAGGAATAACGATGTGATATTAAAAATTTTATGAGGTGTGTAGTTACACAGTGTGCATTTGCAATATATTTATGATTATTGGATAAAAGAAAATAGTGCTTTAGAAGTGTGAATTCTGTGAAGTTACAGTTCGTGATGTTTATTTATGTGTATAGGATTTGATTACGAAATCTATTGGTAAAAATTTAGTTTTTTAAAATAAAAAAAATAACAATAATTATTTTTAAAATTAAGAATTAATTTTGTAATATTTTGTTAATTTAAGAATCCAACAAATATTGTTTTTTTATTTATTTGTAAAAAATGTGCTGATTATTATTTAAGATTGTATATTGTTATTTAGCAGAGTTATATATTATATGACTTTAGTAATTTTAACTCAGTATACAGTCTATGTATATGGTTGACATGAACTACATGATTTGTAACAGTGATAAGAATTAAATGATACTTCTGGTTTAGGAGGAATATATAGAAGACATGGGTAATAAGGGTAATAGAGGCAATATTATTAATATAGTTAATATAGTAAATACAGTAGATAAAGACAATATAGTTTCTCGAATGCAAATAGTAAATTTTATTGAAATTAAAGGCCGTGTTGGCTCTTTGAGACAATAGGTCTTGTTCAATAAATAATAAAGCCTTACTATCTGATTCTAATATTTCTTAATTATCTTTTCCAATATTCTACTAAGTGATATTGTAAAATTATTTTTGTAAACTTATAGTTTAATCTGTGATTATTGTACTTTCTTTTCTCGAAGTAATAATTTCTTGTCTATTATTAGTAGAATAGATAACTTAAGTTTTTGGATGTTTATTTGCAAAATCTAAATGCTTCTTTCAATAAAGTTTTCATTTGCTGAATAATATTAGGGTTTATTAGTCTTAGTGACCGAATACTAGTTCTTAGTATAAATGATCTACTTGAAATCATTATTAATAAAATTTTCTGAGACTACACATAGTTTTTTATTTTTTTATCTGTTTTGTTAATGCATAATTTTAATGCAATATTTTTATAATGGATTTATCTCTTTATCTATATTGTTATCTAGTTTAAGTCATATGGCAATTGATATAGCTAATTCAAAATTGGGTAGCCTAGCTAAAAAGGGCAGAATAGTCTAAAAAATCGAAAAGTGTGATATGGGTAAAATAAATATTAAGAAAATACTGATATTGTAATAATCAAAAGGATCATAAGAATAATAATGATCATTAAGGTAATAGAAGTTAGTAGGGTAGCTATAGTTATAGATATAGAGTACGATTGTATATATAGTAAATTTTTATTATAAATAACGGCTGAAATAGTTTTAGTTGAGAGATAAGTCTCTTTTGCTTTATAACAGTAATAAATGATTGTCTGCATATAATAAGTTCTCTTTCTGCTTTATTAAATAATTAATTGATTTTTTATCTGTAATAATCATTCTTTTATAAATAATAAACTCGTTGAAATTACTCAATCTAATATAAGTTAAATCATAATAAATTTTTTCTTAATAAGCCCTTGTCTGTATTAAATCAGATACCCTATCTAGTTGTTAATCTATGTATTAGAAGCAATTGTAGTTATTGTGTTCAATTACTCAAAGTAGTGAGGTAATTGAGGTATATAAGTCTAGCTTACTCGCAGTAGTGTAGTGCAGCTGAGGTAAAGAAAGCCAGGATAATAGAGAGACCTATCTACTGAATTCACCAACTTGTCAAATCTAAATATCCCTTTTTGATAAGCCAATGTAGGTTATACAAGAATTAAGATTATTGAGTAAGTAATTCACTGCTATACTCAGTTTCAATATTTAAGTTATTAATTATATATATATATTTTTTTTTTTTTTTTGATTTTTAAGGTGGCTTACATTGCCGGGCGATTTTTATTAATTTGATATATGAGGTCCTACATGGGGTTCCCCTATAGTTTTTAGTTACATGAAAAGTGTACAACAAGCCACACGTATAACTTTAGTCATTATCTAATTTAAGTAGTCCGCTATGCAGGCGTTAGACCACCTGTTAGTACTACACTATGCTGCCATACCTGCAACCCGCCTGTGAGTTACCTATTTAAACACTCTGTTCAACTAACCTATTCTTATTACAAACTAATATCACTGTAATATCTAACCGCATACGCCAGCTAGCTCGTTATAGATCCATTTTTTAACACCAGCTTAGGTCCTCTTGGGATACATGTTGCTCATCATATTGTGAGCATGCAGAGCTCCAGTTAATCTCGAAGCAAACCTACTAGAGCAGCCCATGCCCATTTCACGGACTCATCTAGCTTAGACCCTTGTAGATATTTGTACAACCCCAGTTTCTTCCGTGGCTCTTCACCAGTTTTCTGTGTCTATCTTCTGGATGTTTCACAAAGCAGATTCTCCCAATCTAGTTAGCCACCAAGCCAGGTTGGTATTATCGATCCTCCCCATGAAATGGATTTATGCATACCTGACTCGATCTGTATCTTTGATGATAGTTTCCTTTCTGGATCAAGCATTAGCCTGTGTGATCGTCGAAAGCCATACTACTTCACCAACTCAGGATTTCTACTATGCAGGTCCCCTGCTTGTATATTATTTGTGTGCACATATCATCCTGTGATTAACTGCTGTCATACTAATATTTTTTCCTATCAAGATTTATTCGTATGCGTATATTATCCTGTGATTAACGACCGCCACACTACCAATGTTCGATTGACTTAGTGCAACTTAACTTACAGGGTTACAACTCTAGAAACGAACAGAGTTTACTGTAAGTTGGGTACAAAGGTTCGAGTAATTATTCAAATTCATCGACAGTAGGATTTGAACCCCAGACCTCTTGCATAGCAGTCTGGCAACCTATCCACTACACTAAGATAGCCAGATCTAACTAAATTTTTTAACAAATTCTCTTATTGCTATTTTTTTACTAAATTCTCTTACTGCTATTAAATTCCACACTTAAATTTTTGTCACTATAAACTTAATTTTTTAATTTAATAATTTTGTCAATTCGTTTCTTTAATTCATTAATTTTGTCAATTCGTTTTTTTAATTCATTAATTTTGTCAATTCATTTCTTTAATTTATTAATTTTGTCAATTCATTTCTTTATTTCATTAATTTTTTTATTTATTTTTTATTTTATTAATTTTGTTCATTTGTTTTTTATTTCATTAATTTTGTTAATTTGTTTTTTATTTTATTAATTTTGTTAATTCATTTCTTTATTTCCTTAATTTTGTTAATTTGTTTCTTTATTTCATAAATTTTAACTCTTATTCTTTAAATTGTCTTTTTGTATCTTGTTTTTTATTTAATTCATTACTATTTCTAATCGTTATAATGTCTAAACAACCCACTAAATTGCATCCATCAAAATCGCCCTCACACTAAACTTCGCAATCATCACAACCTCTGCAATTTCCACAACTCCACATACAACTTTCACAAGAAATAGAAAATATCAATATAATTGAACAATCGGAACCAGAACTAAGGCCTATGATTACGGTTTTAGGTCGTGAAATTCAGCTTTCAAGAGCTAAAATCCTGCCTAGAAATAGAGAAGAACAAACTCATGAAGAAAATTTAGAGGAAAGAATTCGTGAGCTTGAAAATAGTAAAAATTTTATATTTTCTAATTTATAATTTATCATACTCAACTCTTGAACAAACCTGACAAGTAATATATAACTTGTAATTGAATCCAATTATATGTTATATATTGCTTGTTAGGTTTGTTCAAGAGTTGAGTCTGATATAATGTATAAAATGAACTGAGCTAAGCTAGGCTTATCTAAAAAAAACCCAAATCTGAAAAAAATTTTTGAGCCTAAGTCTAGTCTAGTAAAAAAAAAAAGTTTTAGAATATAGGCTAGGTCGAGCCTGATACAAATTAGGCCTGTTCAAGCCCAGCCTAAGTCTGAGTTATCAATAATTATAACATGAATAAAATATGT